GCCTTACCCCCGCGGGAGAGCTGCCTGGAGTTCGCGGACGGCCGGACCTGCAGGGATGCCGGCCCGTGCCCCCTGAACTACAGATACCAGGTGAGCACCCCCTCCTCCGGGCACAGCGTGGGGGCTGGCTTGGGAGGGAAGTGCACCTGGGAGGGATTTTGGGGGTGGCTTCCCTGGTAGGGGAGGAGATGGCGGGGTGGTGGGGGTGCTGACGATTCCAGGGACGCCAGGGAAAGGAAGTTCAGGGATCCTCCCTGCTCTCATGCCCACCTCTGCTTCCTGCCTCAGGCCTCACCGTGTCCCAGAGCCTGTACTCCCCGTAACTGCCTGGGAGATGTGACCTGTACTCTAGGAGGCTGGCCCTGCAGGCCCCAGCCTTCCCTCATCCCCGAGGGGCCCCTTGGGCCTTTGACTGACTCTCCCCCGCCCCCAGGCCAGGCTCAGAAGCTGGCTCCTGGGCCTGGGCACCTGCACCAGCCCCACCTGTGCCTGGGCCTTGGCCCTTCCCCACAGGGCACTCACCATGGCCCCACCGCTCCTGCTGCTGCTGCTGGCCAGTGGAGCGGCCGCCTGCCCACTGCCCTGCGTCTGCCAGAACCTGTCCGAGTCGCTCAGCACCCTCTGTGCCCACCGAGGCCTGCTGTTCGTGCCACCCAATGTGGACCGGCGGACAGTGGAGCTGCGGCTGGCTGATAACTTCATCCAGGCTTTGGGGCCACCAGACTTCCGCAACATGACCGGGCTGGTGGACCTGACGCTGTCCCGCAATGCCATCACCCGCATCGGGGCCCGCGCCTTTGGGGACCTGGAGAGCTTGCGCTCCTTGCACTTGGATGGCAACAGGCTGGTGGAGCTGGGCACTGGCAGCCTGCGGGGCCCCGTCAACCTGCAGCACCTTATCCTGAGTGGCAATCAGCTGGGCCGCATCGCACCAGGGGCCTTCGACGACTTCCTGGACAGCCTGGAGGACTTGGACTTGTCCTACAACAACCTGCGGCAGGTGCCCTGGGCTGGCATCGGTGCCATGCCTGCCCTGCACACCCTCAACCTGGACCACAACGTCATTGACGTGCTGCCTCCGGGCGCCTTTGCCCAACTTAGCCAGCTCTCCCGCCTTGACCTCACCTCCAACCGCCTGGCCACATTGGCACCTGACCCACTCTTCTCCCGGGGGCGCGACTCCGAGGCCTCGCCTGCCCCCCTGGTGCTGAGCTTCAGTGGGAACCCCCTGCACTGCAACTGTGAGCTGCTGTGGCTGCGGCGGCTGGCCCGGCCCCAGGACCTG